AACCCTCAACCCTACCTGGACCCTATGAAATCCCTACTACGGATAAACGCCCCTTGATGGACAACACCTCAGCAAAGCCCTAAACCCCCAGCAGTAGTAAATCCGAGACTTTCCACAACCCCATCATCCCCAGAAGCGCAATGCCTCGAGATACTTGAAGCGCCCTTCAAATCCCTAGAGCGGTGTAGGCTTTAGGGTATCCCTTAAAACCAAACCTGAACCCAAACCTACAAAAAGCCTATACAGACCCATATATACAATGCTAACACGCTGTATCACGTACGAAGCACGTCCTGTAAACCCATATAAAACCCCTTAAAACCGCAATATCTGTATGTTGAGATAGAGCCAAAGACAGATACAAAGATACAGATAAAGATGTGGATATGTCCTACCTCATGAAGCCCTTGTCCTCAAACCTCAACCCTAAACCCCAAACCTTAAACTTTATAGACTTATAGACCCCATAAGCCCTAAATCTTAAATGTTGTAGACCCTATAAGCCTTAAATCTTAAACGTTATAGACTCTATAAGCCTTAATATGGTTCATGTCGGGGCGCCAGGCGAGCTCCCACAGTTCCCTTCGACGTTGCCGCAGGATGGCTCGCAGCGCCCGATGCTGGACCTGCCAGGGCCTTTAGGGTTTGTTTAGGGGCTTATAAAGGGTTTAGGGTTTAGGGGTTTAGGGTTTAGGGTTTTTAGGGTTTTAGGGTTTAGGGTTTAGGGTTTAGGGTTTAGGGGCTTAGGGTTTAGGCTTTGGGGGCTTCTGAAAGGAACTTACCTATAGTCTCCATGGTGGTTTCTTTTTTGACCTGTTTATATATTTAGGATCCCAAAAGGTAGCCCAACAAAAGGAACTACAATGGAGATTATGGGTACATGGCTTGAGGTTTGGGGTCGAGGGGTTAGGTTTCGGAAGGTCTCAAACTAACAGAGCAACTATCGTTGTTAGGAATCCTGCAAGCTCGAACTTCTGGCTACTGTTTAGGGTTTAGGGTTTGCGATGTAGAGTGCTCCGTGAACCCATGGGCGCATGCAGGTTTACGATTTAGCGTTCAGGGAAATGGCCACGAAGGCACCCCGAATGCTGCAGCTTGTCCTCAAGTGCTGCGAAGCTGCCAGGCATGTGTTTTTGGGTTTCGGTGGATGCAAGACCCGGCAAGACTGAAAGCTACGACGGTTTACAACATCTACAAAGCATGGAAGATTTGATTCCTGAAAACTGTGGGGGAGAAGCTTAAAAGGAGCTATTTGAGCCGTTGCGGTTTAGGATTTAATTGGGCTATGGGGTTTACCAACCCCTAAACCCTAAATAAACCCTTAATTGTGGCCCAGGGTCTTACTCTAGCATTTCGAGGGTGTGGGGTAGAACGCCCGCCCCACCTTCAGAGTACAATAGTTGCTAAAAGGGCTCGTGCAGTTCCTTCGTGAGACCGGCACAAACTACAACAACCGACTAATACAGGGGCCTTTATAGTTTGATTAGAATAGCGTTTGGGGGCCCATCATACTGTACTCATAACAAGGAACCCTAAATAATAGTCATGACAATGATCTACGCCCCTATATTAAGGGTGCCGGGGCCGCCAGAAAGCCCTAAGACCTAAACCCTGAAGACCTAAACCCTGAACCCTAAACCCTAAACCCTAAAACCCTGAAACCCTGAACCCTAAAACCCTGAACCCTAAAACCCTAAACCCTAAAACCCTGGAACCTAAACCCTACTGAACCCTAAAACCCTGAAACCCTGAACCCTAAACCCACCTAAACCCTACTGAACCCTAAAACCCTGAACCCTAAACCCTAAACCCTGAACCCTAAACCCTGAACCCTAAACCCTGAACCCCAAATCCCTAAACCCACCTAAACCCTACTGAACCCAAGAGTGGGGTTTGACCCGAAGCAGCCACGGGTGGCCTGGTGCAGCACTTTCCTGGCTCAGGCTTCAAGACGTGAGAGCCGTTTAGGGGGTTTAGGAGGTTTAGGAGGTTTAGGGTTTAAAGGGTTTCGTCGAGATTTCTACTAGAAGAGTTGCAGAAGGATTCCTTTGAGGGTTTTATGAAACTTCTGCACGGATGTTTATGCGGGTGTTGCACCGTGTTGGGGGCGTGCAGATTTAGGATATTCGTGTCTTTTACAGTTAAGGGCATTGAGGTTCAGGATCTTGGGGGTTTAGGGTTCCCGGGTGAGGGATTTGAGGGTTTAGGCATAGGGCTTGAGGAAGATGGCTTGATTTCGGCTTGTGCTTTGCATGGGTGGCGACAGCATTCAGTCACGGCGCACCTGGCCTTGGCTAATTAAGTAGCACCCTGCCTTCAAGGGAGCTTTTTGGGGCTTGATTTTTTTTTGATAAAGTGCAATAGCCTCTTTACTCCATCCATTGGGGATTGTTTTGGGGATAAGGATCCCTACCAGAAGCTGAAGGGAGTAGGGTTTATGAAGAATATCTATGGGTGTAGGCTTCTGGGGCTCTGCTTCCAGTTCTTGACAAAGCCCGAGGCTTTCGTCTGAAAATTAGGATTACGATTCGGTCGGTACCCTTCTTCCCTTGCGGTCCTGGTGCTTCTGCCTGTCTCACGGTCACTATGCTACCTCTATCTTCTCCTCTGTCGATACCAGTTCCGTAGGTCCATGCACAAGGATAGCAGGCAAGTGCAAAACGATCGATGTATCAGGGTTCCACGGACAATATGCGCTTTTAGTAGCCGGAATGCTAAAGAGATTGCTCGTAGGCAGGATCCACAAGTTCTGGTGTGGGAACAACACGATAGCCGGAATCCGCTTAACCGTGAAATGGTAGTCACGCAGGAAGTGGAGTGTCTGCAGAGCTGCGCAAGTTTGCAAGACCTACACCCATCCCAGACATGCGCTCATGCATGTATGCATGTATGCCTTCACACTTCCGTACGGCGACGTGCGCATGCGTCAAAAAAGTACTGTATGCGCCATAGAAAAAACCCTAAGCCCTGATCCTTAAAACCTGCAGCGCCATCAACCCTGAAGCCTGAATCCTGAACCCGCAAGAGCCCTAAGCCTCCCTAAACCGTGAACCCAAAACATTGAGCCCTAAACCGTCAGCCCCAGGGGGGCGCTCAACCAAATAAGCTTATACCGACCCTAAACCCTAATCCCAGAAGCCCTCCTGGACCCCCGAAGTACCCTTTCATAGATCCCTCATGGTCTTCAATCGTGGGTACTTGGGGTATGCTTCGAGGGTAGTTGGGGGGGTCTAGGTAGGTCCTAAACCCTAAACCCCAACTCCCTCAATCCCTAAACCCTGAACCCTTAACTCCTAACCTCTAAACCACTAAACCCTAAACCCCTAAACCCCTAAACCCCTTAAGCCCGAAACCCCTAAACCCCTAAACCCCTAGACCCTAAACCCTAAACCCCAAATCCCTAAACCCCCAAACCCTAAAACCCAAATCCCTAAACCCCTAAACCCTAAACCCCAAATCCCTCAACCCTCAACCCTAAACCCCAAATCCCTAAACCCCCAAACCCTAAAACCCAAATCCCTAAACCCCTAAACCCTACAACCTCAAACTATACTTCACAGCTCTGCACCGGGGCCTGGTGGCCCGAGCGTTGCGCTGAGCCGCAGCTGCTGAAGCCAGCAGCCGCCAGGAAAGAAACCTCACAGCATTAAAGGGTTTGGGGGTGTAGGGTTTTAGGGGTTTAGCGGTTTAGGAGGTTTAGGGTTTAGGGTTTTAGGGTTTAGGGGTTTAGGGCTTTAGGGTTTGAGGGCTTTAGGCTCAAAACACGAGGGTTGCACTCAGGGGGGCAAACCAAGTCGAAGCTTTCTTGCTGCCAAGGGTGACTGCATGCAACTCCGTTCCTCAAGTCTCCTTTGAGGGCTCTTGGAAATCCCCATCTTGGGCCCACTGGGCCCTAAACTCTAAGACCATCATTCATCTGGGCACTCACAACCGCCCAGACAGGCTAAGATCCTGAACTCTCAAAGCCACGGTTTCTCAGAGATTGCTGTTTGCATGCTCCCTGGGCCTTGGTGTTTCTAACAGGTTTGGGTGCTCGCTCACTCTTTTCTTCTCCCCAAGGCAGCTTCCTGGTGAGCAGGATCCCCGACGATGATTCGCATCGTTGTAGCATCGCCCCCTAGTTGTATTCATGTAACAGCGAGTATTGTCGATAATTCTTGGTGATGCAACAACATCACGAATGCATCACCCGGTGCGTTTGCGCTTCCCGGGCCTCCCTAGCTGGCTAGTCGCATTCGATAGCCAGGAATGAACAATCCAGTATGCCTGATCGCGATTTCTCTTCTGAGCCGGAATGGCCCGCAAAGTTTTCTTGCGCTTGTCGTAGCCTCGAACCGGAAGGTCGGGGTTGAACGAAGCGGCACACGAGTTCCTTGGGTTGTGTCTTCATCATAAGTCATAACTCAAGTCCCACTGTACCTCTCGCTCGCTCTCACGTAAGTCATCAGACAAGAGGCTTTCCATCCCAGACCTCTCCAGAGGTCAACCTGCCCTGGAAATGGGGCAGTGTCCGATCCTTGTGCAAGACCATGTGCATTGCTGTCCCTTCGGGCAGCGGGAGCTCGGAGACGAGCTCAGGCGGAAGAGCACATGCATTGGAGAGTAGGGCCCTGGAGGCTCGACCATCAGGCACTGCAGGTCTCGCATCCGTCATAGGCTCATCGGTCGGCCCTTGGGCTACCTCAGATAACACGACAACTTGTGGGAAGACACGAGGGTGGTTGGTGGCATATTGGGCAACCAAGCAGAAGAGAGAACGAGAGAGTGAGAGAGACATAGGGAGAAAAGAAGCATCCCCAACAAGGTGCAACTTAGAAGCCTCTTCAGCATCATCCTCGTCCTCGTCATCGTGCTGCTGTCCAAGCAACTGCCGGCAGGCAGCTGTAGCGGCATCCTCCTCGAGCACTTCCCAGTGGATCTCTCCCTGAGTAGGGCTGCTACTTTCCCGCAATATCTGTTGAGGAGTTAAACTGCTAAAGAAAGCACGAACACGTCTTGAGATTATGTGCCTCCTCCGTGGTGGGGTCTGTTCCCTTCTCTTCTTTCTGTCTTCTCTTCTCTTCCTGCTGCTCCAGCTTTTGCACCATCGCATTGATCACATCTGCACTGCATTCTTGCTGAATGTCGTCCATCGAGAGAATTCGTCGGATGCGTTGTGCCTTCGTGGCGTTCTTCGGCATTCGGGCCCCTCGTGAATCCATGAAATCAATCAGATTCCGGACGGTGAGCTTCAGGACATCTCCGCTTTGCACCAACCAGCCCATCAGGGAGAAGTCTTTCATGCCGCGTCGCAAGAGGATGCTGCAACCACACTTGTCTGACAAGACAGGCTCGGCAAGGTGGATGCTGTAACCGAAGAATCGCACCTGCAAAACTCGCCACTATTGGACTTGCTAGCGGCAACGATACGAAATGCAATATATTTGACCAATCAGTCAGCATGTCAGAATCCGTGAGGTACCTCGTCAGGCCTCAGGAGCAGCTTCCGGACCAAATTCCTGCAGCCCAGGGATTAGATCTCGCGTCCATAACGAAGCTTACAGCGGAACCCCGCCTCCCAACATCCAAAGTCAGTGCATGGGTGCTCTGATTCGTTGACAGCGGATCAGGCGACTTTTCGTCATTCATCGGGATGTTGGTCTCATCCACTGCCAAGTCAGGCAAGGGGCCTTTGAAGGAAAAGGGCAGCTCCTTCAGCTGCACGGCCTAAGAAGTAGATTCTGCTTGGTTTGGGTCGACCAAGGACCACATTGAACCGAAACGTCAAGGGTTCAAGAGCCCCAGTTCAAAAGCCAAGCAGCATTGAGGATCCCCGGTGTTCGGCCCGTGGACAAGTAAAAGACTCCCTCGAAGCGGAAAAGCATCCCTGCAAAGATCGTCTCGGGCACCCAGAAAAACTGGATTTCATTCACCGGATCTCGTCCCATCCTTGGCGATATCAGCTAATGGCTATTGTTGAAATTGGTGTCTTGACTCCTGCCGGTGCTTCACTCCAGCTCTCGTTTTGCGTTTTCTGTCACTCACTCACTCACTCACTCACTCCCTCGCTGGCTCGCTCCCTCTCCTCCCTCCCTCCCGCGCTTACACAGGCACACTCTCTCGCTTCTTCTATATACAAAAAATTAGAAACAAAAAAAATATATATATATATATAGATCTCTCTCTCTCTCTCTTTCTGGTTGGCTGGGCTTCTTGTGCGTTTCTTCACGTCACGTCATCTATCTCCTCTCTCTGCCTCTTTCTAGTTTGTCCATTCCTGGCAAGAGGCGAATCTGCAAGCATCAGTCCGGCCATAAAGTTCAGCGAGTGATGGTTGTGATGAAAAGCGGAGGTCGAAGGGAACGGTTTGGTGATGCTGTCGATGGACACGGCCTGGCCTTGCAATAGCCAGAGATGATTACAAAACAGAGAGAGCGAGAGAGAGAGAGAGAGAGAGAGAGACACACACACGGCGAGAGAGAGCGAGAAAGAGAGGGACCCTGTCGAGGAGGAGGTGAGGGACCGTGTGACCAGTGAAAGAACGAAACTGAAATCACATTCACGTCCGTGCGGCAAACCGGGGCTGACGTGGGATTGAAAATCTTCGGCTTCAGTGCCGGGGTTTGGGCCCCAGACCAGTCGTCCTTCTCGAGTTTCAATGCCTGCGGGGCATCCTCGCTGATGCACAAACGGCGATGTAGCCCTCGGATCGCCACAGCCATCAAGTTGGGGAGGGAGCCCACGTCAGACTGGCCGGATCGCTTCACAGCTGATGTCATCTCCTTGAACAAGGATTCGATGTTCGACGACCAAGCGAGCTCGGGGTACCAGGCCCGCGTGAGGCTGAGGGCCTCTGGGTGCACTTTCCAGCTGTGCTTCTCCCACACTGCCATCAGTTCACGATAGCATTGGTAAGACACGTGTCTGCAGTGCTCCTGCAGCTCGCAAGCCGAAGCAGCACTGCTTTCCAACCGCAAGACCAGCTCCCATTCGGATTTCATCTGGCTCACGACGAGCTTCTTGGTTTCTTCACTTTTCTCATCTGATGGAGGCGCAATCAAGGCAGCCGCCTTCGACGGCGAGCTCCGAAGATATCGGAAGTGTTCAAGAAGCTCATGTGCTGTAGCCAAATACATCCCCAAGGCTTCAGACAGCACTGACTGGAGTGTAAAGTTCCGGCGAAACTTCACCTTCAACTCCTCAGGGGTTGCAACAGCTTCGGGTTGTCACAGTGTGATGCTCAGAATGCTCAGCTCGCGATGCTCTAGTGGTCTCGCGACTAGTAGATGGAAAATAAGGGTTCTATATTGCATCTCCGGTCATTGGCGATGCCCGGTTTCTCCTAGAGTCGTGCTTGACTTCTCCCGGATGAATGGAACTCCGATTAAGAAGTTCTGGTATTGAATCGATCAGGAATCAGGACCGACAGCGGGAACAACAGCACCAATCAGTCGTGTTCACGTATCGGCCGGTGCTTTCCTCACGAAAACTAGTAACGGCTAGTGTTGGTAATCATTGCTTCATAGTATCATCGAAGCCTACAGACAAGTTGACAGTTGCTTCTTGGTGCCGAACCCTAAACCGAGGAGCCCTGCGATCTAGATGTGTTTCGCCGACTGCTCAGGGAACTGGCTCTTAGTTCGACAAGTTAGGCCTCGGACCCTGATGACCCGCCCATCGGCTTTTACTTTGGCCTGCTTAGTTTGGGTCCCAGCATTGGCGAGCTTCGGGCTTGAAGATTTGGTTCTGACAGACTGCAGTGCAGCGGAATCAAGCAGAAGAAGACACAAAGAACAGAGAACGATTAGTGATTAGTGGCCTGCCCATTCATGGTCGCATCCGGCGGCATGTCGAGTACCTTCGAGGAGAGGCACTCTGTCGCGAGGGCCGAAAGCTTGTTCTCGAGGGCGTCCGTGTTGGCTTGCAACGTGAAGCTGTGCAGGGCCATCTTCTTGCTTTGATCTTTTTGCTTAGTTGCATGCACAAGATGCAATTGCAGCTTTGATTCTGTTCGGAAGCCCGCGTGATCCAATCTTGCTGCAGCTGAAGCACAAGCTCCAAGCAAATCTCCTTGAAAGGAGTGACCACTGTGCGGGCGAAGCGGAAGATCCCGAAAAGCTCCTCGTCCATGAGAGCCTGGTCACAGTGGAGCATAAGCCGGATCCGGTTCTGGGTTTCTTGGGACTTGTTGCAACAAACAGGCTATATAGTCAGGCCTTGACACACTTTTGCACGGTTTTGTCTTGACTGGATTCACCTCCTTGCTGGATGGAATCGAAGCTCAGCGGGTTCTTGCCCACCTGTTCCGAACGGGCGGCACGAGTACGTGCATGTTCGTGTGTGTGTGTGTGTGCGTGTGGGTGTGTGTCTCTGTGTGTGTGCGTGTCAGCATGTGTGTGTGTGTGTGCTCGCGTGTGTGTGTGTGTGTGTGCCTGTGTGCTTGTGTGTGTGTGTGCCTGTGTGCCTCTGTGTGTGTGAGAGTGTGTGTATGTGTGTGTGTGTGTCTTTGTGTGTGTGCGTGTGTGTTTGTGTGGGTGGGTGGGTGTTTGCGTGTGTGTGTGTGTGTGTGTGGGTGCCTCTGTGTGTGTGTGTGTCCGCGTGTGTGTGTGTGTGTGTGTGTGTGTGTGTGTGGGGGTGGGTGTGCGTGTGCTTGTGTGTGTGTGTGTGTGTGTGCGTGCGTGTGCGTGTGTGCGTGCGTGTCTGCGTGTGTGAGTGTCAGCAAGATTACATTACAAATCACAATCACAAGGTCTGCCAGCAGCAGCACGACTAGTGGAATTTGCGATCAAACCCGTCCTCAAGGGAGCTCCATAGGATCAAGAGCAATGTGCTGGACATTTGGAAAGTCGAGGCAGTGTGTGCCCACGAGCACCACCGAGACCAAGAGAAGGACTCGCTGTTGTACCTAGGCTACTTTAGGTCAAGACATGAACCAAGGAGCCTGTTCGAAATGCACTTTTGTGTCCCAGAAACTTTATGGTCTTGCCAAGGATATCGACCGTCCTCTCGAAGTTCAGCTTGGCATCGGAGATGTAGGGCAGGCCGTTCCTCGGATGGATCTTGTGGGTTGGGGTTCATGGAAACCGTTAAGACTCAAAGTTGAGAAATGCAACACAGGTAGCTAAGTTTCTCTCTCAAGATGTCCCTGCTGAAGAGCTCCATTAAGAAATCATCTGGTCGAGCCTTAGTTTTGCAGCTATATCCCACCCGGCATCATATGGGTTCCTGCAACTTGTAAGTCAAATCAGCACCATGTCATTACGATCAAAAAATTCGGTTGAGTCACAGCTTCCAAGTACCTTTCTCCAGCCTCCTTCAGTGTGGAGGCAAAGTTACTCGTCCCCCATGGGGACTTCTTAGCTCGGAAGAGCCAGCCACTGAGTAGAGTCATTCCTGGGCAATAGGACACCAACTTTAGTATTCAGTTGCAACAGCAGGAACAACAGAACAAAACAGTGAATGTCCAGTGCAATCGGCATATCGAACCCCAGGGCCGAGGATCTTTTGATCGTTGGGCTGCAGGATGTGACACGACCCATATGAGCGTGCAGCTTGTGCCTCACAAAGAAACATCACCGAGGCCAAACACGAAATGGTCACACGAAACACAGCAGAATGACCTGAGTATGATTGCCAGCACTGCTTCGTTGCTGCGGAGTCACAGCTCGTCGCCGATAAAGCCCACATTGGCGCCGTTATGGGCGAGGAATTGATAGGCTGCATACAAGGGGCCGCCTTGATCTGGACATAGTATGAGCCGGAGGGTGTCGGAGTTCGGCCCCTCCAAAACCGTGTCCCACCTAGCGACACCTGTGGCCTTGTTGGCCACGAAGGCCAGCAGCCCATCACCGACCGAATGGAGTCGGCGCTCTTCGTTGTCAGGGTCTATCGGAGCACAGCGGCAGCTTGGAAACACCTCCTCCAAACCGATGCCGATGTGGGAGAGCACGTTGGAACAAGCTTTGAGCTCTTGCTTCGCCGCTAGGCGATCGTCTCGAAGAGAGCTGAGTGCTTTCGGCCTCAATCACTAGTGAATTATGTATCTCGGATTCTGGGATCGGAGCAACCGACAAAATCACACTCAGTTGTGCATAAGGGCAGGTGAGGGTCAGCTTTTTTTTGTCCTGTTTGCTAGTGGGCTCGGCAAGCACTGCCTTCGTATGGCTCTCGGCCACCAAGCTTGCCACCCCCAGCTTTTGAGATGCCGTAGCACTGCTGGGCAGCAATGTTGATAGTCGCTGCAAAGTGCCCACACTGAGACAATTCGGAAGCCCGAACACAGGCAGCCACACCTCAAGCTCCCCATGACCGGCGTTGTATAATTCTATATAATGCAAACTACAGGGCCACCTCGATCTGCCGCCTAGGCTCATCGTGCTTCGCCTTGGGGCTTGCATCGCATATCAATGCGATGGACTTGTGCTGCAGGCCATTGAGCACCTGGATGCAAACATAAGCAAGGGTTGTGGAGTTGTTGGAAGCTTCGGGTTTCAGCCTTCTCCGTCTGCTCCTGAGTTTTGATCAGATAGCGGTGCACGAAGTCGGCCGTCGTCCTGATATCATGTCTTGCACACGAGGAGGACATTGATCTCTATTCAAAACAAAATTCGCAAGACTACGTACTCTGTCCTGTTGTAATGTGTGGGGCAGATCGCACCGAGCCCAACATCCTTCAAGCTTGCATCTGCCTGGCCGCTGCAGAAGCCACCACCGCGTGACAGGAAGCGGGCTATGGCCAGCTCCGACTTCGGCTTGCTTTCCAGCTTCAAGCGTCTGCCGTCCCTGGTCGCAGTAGAACAGCAACTTTCAGCCAAGAGCCCTTGCCAGCCCAAACCCCGAATAATTGCATCCCAGTAGCTTTGTCGCCGGATGAAAAGTGTGGTCTGCGGAGAGGGGCGGCAGCACATCGGTTGTCAGATTCTCCACCGATTTTTCAGCAGCTTGACTCAAGACATGTATCAGCCGTCGTTGCAGTCGTGCAAAGGTAGTTTTCTCCTCGATTGTGGGCTGCGGGAGGCGGCATTGGGATTTAAACATCAGGCATGCTGTCGTTGCTAAGTGGCATCCAGAGAATCCGCGTGGGGCAACCGAAGCAGGAACCACACGACCACAGGCAGACGAAGGCCTCAAAGCATCGGGCTTGAGAGTTTGGGTTGTGCTATTATGTAGCATTAGGGTTTAGGGTTTAGGGTTTAGGGTTTAAGTTTAGGGTTTAGGGTTTGGGAGCATAATAATGGACAGACCTGTGTCGATTGACTGCTCTTCCTTTGAGAGGAACTTGCACTGCTGCCACCTGCGTGCGGGCTTTGTTCTTGGTGTTGAGGGCAGTAGAGCAAACCCCAACGAGCACAAGGCGGGCCTCTGCGTGAGATTCGCATACTCCAAGAAGGCATTCCAGGAGGCCAGAGACACATAGCCATCATGGACTCTTAACAAACCTCAGATTAATGAAGCCCAAACACACAGGTCACAGGCAGCAGCAGCAGCAGCAGCAGCAGCAGCAGCAGCAGTGGCGGCGGCAGCGGCAGCAGCAGCATCTTGGTAAGCTCAGCGACATTCCTCCTTCTCCGGGAGCAAAGCTATGTCCAAGCTTCCCAAAACAGTCGTTCCCAAGACGACATCCAAGGTGCGAAGAGCAGATCCCTGGATCTCTGGCTTGCAGCCGCGGCTCTGCAGGACATAGCAGGCCTGTTCCAAGATTGCACATGAGTTGAATACTTCTTTCTGGACCACCCCGGAAGCAGAACCTGAAAGATCATGCAGGCAGGTCACGAGGAAAATCGCACCCGGAAAGGTCAGGGCGTCGAAGGGCAGGCGGATGCGTTCAGGGTTTATCTTCGAAGACTGGCCCCTATATGTCGCTTTTCGGACACAGTGGAAGTTGATGAGATCAACTTTCCAGGCATCACAAATATCCATCGCAAGTCCCTCCTGCCTTAGATCAGAGAACATGGCTAGGGCGAGGGTTTCGGGTAGGGAGCAAGCAGAACGAAGCCCAGGATCGAGAAGCAAGTTATTTGCGGTCTAGACACAGCTTGGAGAAAAAGTTGTGGAAAAATTGTGCTCGTTTGGTCAAACTCCAGAGCTCCTCTGCTCGGAAGAGTATCTTGTAGCCCTGGATCTTCTGATCAACCTGTGCACGTGGGCTTCAGCATGAATGCTTGGTTCAGTGTCATCATGGTCTGCTGCGGTGCAAAAACCAGCTTTCCCGAAGTCAGTGCCTTGTGGAGTTGCAGCACTCCCTTCACGGCTCGGTTGGAGGACAAGTACAGGGTCTCGAACTTGTTGTAGTCTTGTCCAGGACTACAACTGCTATCTGAAGCCACTGCCTCTGCCGTGGCATTGCCCGGCCGTTCTTCGGCTGGGGCAGGAGTCCCGGCAGGAGGACCGAAGATTCTTGGCCGCAACCAAAGGCCGAGAGAAGCTGCCTTTGCACGTAAGCTTGTCAGTGTGTCCTGCCAGACAGAACAGTCGGGTCGCAGCAACAGAGGCCAGCCCTGACAAGCCCTAAGACAGCTCAAGATTGAAAGCATCTGGGCGGGGGCCTCCCAAGCTTCTTTCGATATATCCATGTTTCCGATGCCCCTGCCGTTGTGCAAGCAGGTGTCGATATATTCGATTTTCTTGCAGATGTTGTTGAGCAGCTCTGCTCTGTCTGGCATATCCAGAAGCCTTGGATTTGGCTCTAGGCTGCTAGGCTAACTCTGCCACATCGAGGGAGCACGTTACAATCGAGCGAGCACGTTCGGGTCCAGGGCCCGGGAAAACTGCTGCCAAGGATCTCGCACAGCTTCTGCAGCCGCCCTTCCAGCCAAGGGCGGGCTGCCATGGTCGCCTTGGATGCTCGCTGAAAGCTGCATGCTGGCTGGATTCGTTTTGTGCACACAGGACCGCACACTGCACGACAGCAAATCGCGAGCGAGCACGTATTCCAGCAAATGGCTTTCAAACGAGTGAGCATGCAATATTTCCATGCGTTCGTCCATTTAACAGCGGTTTGGGCCGTCTAACAGAAATGCATGCTCGCTCAGAGTTTTGTGCCGGGCAGGTGCGTGCACTCGGAAACAAAATCGCGTTAGACGAGCACGCTGGGGGAGAGCGAGCACGTAGGTCTGGGAGCCAGCGCGTTGTGCCGGAGCGAGCACGTTCATTTCGAGGGAGCACGGTGCTGGGCACGAGCCAGCACCATCACGTTCACCAAAACTACTTCATTGTGCAAAAGACATCGACTCTGCCTTCTATTCTCTCTTGCAGAAATCTCCGCCCGGCCCAACCCCGGCGGCCCGCCCGGCACGGCCCAGACCAGCCCTTTCTTTCCTTCTTTGCAACCGAGGAGCAGCAGGGCCGCCGCTGGGCAGGCACCAAAGGCGAAACCACGGCAGCAAAGCTTTGGGTGGGCTCCGTTACTAGGGTTTGGGTAAAAACTCCGGTTTTCCTTTTGGGGTTTTGGGTGCCGCTAGGCCGAGCTTTCGCGCCAGGGCTGAGGTTTGGGGTTCAGGGTGTAGTAGTAGGGATCAAGCAGCTTCGTTTAGGCTCTTTTGTAGGTCTGGAGTCTAGGTCTAGCGTACAGGTCTCGGCCTTGGCCTAGGTTTCGGGGGGGTGGGGGCCCAGGGCCAGTCTTCTTTCCTACAACGGAATCCCGATACCAATCCCGACACCAATCCTCGGTTTAAGCTTAAGGTCTTAGGGCACAACCCCAGCCGCTGCCCAAGCCCACTTCGTCTAGGTCTAGAAAGTAGGTCTAGGTCTAGGTCCAGTAGTTCAACCTAGCCTAGCTTCGTTTATTCTATGGTTATTGAGCAGACTCGAATTAGGCGAGGGACGGCTGCGGGTTTAGACACTTCAAGGGCTTTAATAATATAAGCTCGCAGGCAGGGTCCAATTTCAGGTCCAGGCTTTGACCTATTTTAGGCACTAGCTTCATCTATTCCGTAGTGATGCAGAGCCACGGTTTAGGGTTTAGGGGTTTAGGGTTTAGGGTAGGGTTTAGTAAATTTACATTTAGGGTTGTTGTTGTTGTTGTTGTTGTGCAACTTGAGCACTTAAAGCACGATCTTATTATTATTGTCCTTGTGTGTATGTATGAGTATGCACGTATGTACTTGTGAATATATGTATGCGTGTACATGTATGCACACCTACACTTCATTCATCAGGAGCCATGACCTCGCACGGGATGGGAATGGTCCAATCTCAGAAAGCATCGCTGCGAAGCCTTTTGCAAACGAAGCTGATCTGACTATCTGACAGCAAAGAGCACAATTCCCACGTCAATGTTTCGCCAGCACCCTGTAGCAATCACCGACGAGTCTCGGAACACTGGCCTAGTAACGAAGGCCAGCACAGCAAAACATCTAGATGATCCTCGGTGCCTGTCACCTCTGCGGGAAGTTTGCTTGACCTCGGACCAGCCCTGAACCTTAACCTGGCCCTGCATTTTAATATCCCGAAGCTTCATCCATCACACCGACACCGGGGATCAGTCACTCAGGTAGATGTCTTCGCAGCGGCTGGGCGGCGTGACGGCGTCTCGGTCACCTGAGTTGGCACCAGGGGCAAGCTTTTGAGATAAATTGGGGAGGAGCAGAACTCCATACGAATGCTGCCAATGTGCCACTGCTTCAGCTGGAGCAGCAATCGCACCAGGGATTCCCACGGCCCAGGAATCAAAGAGCTTGCGAGCCCTCAAAGACATCTTCATAAAACAGCTCTTGCCAGGCCCCAGGTGGGCCGAGAGGGAACCTGCTCCGAACGACAGACAGCCTACGTACACAACAGCAACAATGACAGCTTCACAAGTCAAGCTTAAACCCGCCTTCCAGCCCCAGCTTGAAATGATGCATCTCTGTCAAGGCTTCCTTCTCCAGGCAGCCAGTCCAATAGCCCAAGTCGGCCCTCAGGTTCTTGTGACTGGGATGGGTCACGGCACACACAAGGTAACTGACTAGGATTCAGAAAGAACAAGGCGGCCGAGACACTGGGAGAGGTCGTTCGGCAGGGTATCCAGGACCTCGCGGTCGATCTTTTCAAGGGTGGCCCGCGCACTGGACGGGAGCTTCTTCAGGGTGCTCTCCTTGCTGGCGTCTGCTTTGGGCAGTGCGAACTCGCCGTGGAAGACGTCATTGTCATCCTCCGAGTCGGAGTGGCTGTCGGCGTAAGGTGCAGCCATAGGGCTGCCTTCGTCCTTGTCAGAGGCTTCCGGCTCCGGCTCATCCTCCTCCTCCTCCTTCTTGCTCCTGGCCTTGTGCCCGCTGCTACGGGCAGGGGCAGGCTTGGGCTCGGGCTTCGGCTCGGGCTGCGTCATGTGCTGCTTCAAGTCATCCGAGGCTGCCTGTGCGGCAGATGTTGGGGGGGGGCTAGGAACATTGACATGCAACGACAAACCTGCAACCCTAACAGCTGAAGCACCTCCCGGGCATCCTTCATGATCGCCGCGAGTCCCTGGAGCCAGGCTTGCTTGCCCCCGGGAAACTTCCTCAGATAACTTCTGTGTAGAAAGCACTGCATGCTCTTGAGGGAGAATTGGCTGAACTATTCTTGCCAAGGCTCTTTGTGTGCCTCTTGTACAAGTTCCGGAGCACACCGGAGCAATTCACGAGGGTCTTGGCGGCACACAACAGCAGTGCGGATGCCGGCCGGCCGGTAACTGCAGCAAGGCTAGGTAGGAAGCCGAAGGTATCACAGCAGTCTGGATGATTCGGCCGATTGTTTTGTCGATTGTCGCTCTCGGAGGCACCATGTGCAGTTATTGATTGGTTTTGACAGACAGAGCCGGATCTACTGAATAACCCTAAACCCTAAACCCTAAACCCCTAAATAAACTAGCAACGGCTTTCTGAGCTACTGTTGGGCTAGCTGCACAATAGCACACTGCATCGCCGATGCCAGCGGAGTCCACTAGAGTATTTGCCTACACTTGAGAATACAATACTCTTTGCGACGTCGCTGCAATCAACCAGACGTGAAGGCTTGCAGCCTATACTGCTAAGTCATCCTGCGACAAGATGTGCATGCAAGCCGAGGCACGATGAACGGCCAAGTCGGCCATTCGGCGCTTCCACATCGTGCCAGCGGCTTTCATCTGGGGGTGAAGAAGCTTGGCTCAATGTAGCGGGGCTAATTCTTTATTACACAAGACTTCCAGAGAGTTCTGTGTTTTCGGGATTCAGGTGGGGCCGTGTTGCAGGATGGTTCGTGCTATGTGATGATACCTGCAGGGGGTTTTCAGGGGCCCGTGTTGGTTTTCGGGTGGCCGGTTAGACCATGGGGTTTCTGTGACCGCCTGGGCCTCTAAATTTTTCGAAAATTTAGAGGCTGGGGCACTGCACAAAACAGGGGCCCGAAAACCTGGAAATTTGCGTAGGGCAGACCACTCGATTCTGGGCACTTTTGGTGGGTTTGCACTACCAAGATCAAGGACTAGGAGGAAAAACCCACAGACACAGACCCGGTGGACCTTCATAGTCAAGGCACCATAAGTCAACACTTAAAGACTGCATGCCTGAACACGGACCAACCTGCCCCTAGTTCGTATCCTAGCTAACCCTCCACCCAAACCCTTTATAGTGTAGCGGCCAGAACAGCTTCTAGCGAGTGCCTGGCACTATTTCGATTACAGAGGATCCAGTCTGCTACGGCTATGATGGTTGCAATTCTAGGGCCTTTGCTACCCTGCTACCCCCACACAAGCCTGAAAAACGGCGTCCGTGTGCTCTTTCTTGGGCCCCTTCTTCTTCGCCGTGGCTGCTTTGTCTCGGAGAAGAGATTCCTGATGTTTGCAGGGACCGATCAATCAAGGAAACAGGAGCCGTCGGCCCACACAACCTATAACCTGTAACTTAGGCCTGCAGATAAGATTCCAACTCCCCGCCCATCTCGAAGATGTCGTTTGCTATGATCGTGGGGCAGACGGCGGAAAGAACCAAACCCATCGGCCTGGGATCCAGCTCCAGCAAGTTGGCAACATCCATGCCGCGGGCCATCTCTTTCTTCGACAGGCCGAATGCCGAGGACGAGTCTGCGAAGCCCTCCTCAGAGACCTCCGAGTTGCAGCTGTCGACATTCGACGAAGAGTCGCTGCTGGAGCTGCCTCGGATTTAGGTCATAGCACGGGGTGTCAAAACCAAACAACCTGGAGTAGGACACTGATGCTGCGAGTTGCTGGACTTTTTAGCCTTTTTTTTGCTCTTCTTCTTCTCCTTCTTGCATTTCTTCGCCTTCTTCTCCTTGTCGGGCGGAGACTCCTTTCCTTGGCTGCGGCGTATCGTTGTGCTAAGTGCAAATGTATCTGCCTAATTATAGCACATGCAAAGGCCGTGCGGACATTTCGCAAGTTCGGGTGGTTGGGCGTCTGGGTGGGCGAGTGCCTGGGTGACTGGGTTGAGTGGGTGAGAGTGAGTGAGAATGGGTTAGGGGGAAAGTTAGTGATCATGACTGAGAATGAGTTAGACTAGACAATGATTGCGTGAGAGTTTGTGAGAATGGGTCAGAGTGAGTGAAGGTGCGTGATTTGAGTGAAAGTGACAGAGTGAGTGAGAACCAGGAGAATCTGTGAAAATAATATTATTTGTGTGAAATGAGCTACTGAGACTGCATGAAAATGAGTGAGAATGATTTTGAAGAATGGGTGAGAGTGAGTGAAAGTGAGTGAGAAGGAGTCAGAGTGAGAGTGGGAGAGTTTGCGTGAGAGTGAGTGTGCGGGAGTGAGTGCGAGTGTGTGGGAATGAATGAGAAAATGAGTGGGAGTCAGAATGAGCAACAGTGAGTGAGCCTGCATGAAAGTGAATGAGAATGAGTGAGAGTGGGTGACTGTGAGTGAGAAGTGCGTGAGAGTCAGTGAGTGAGAGTAACAGAGAAAAAGCGAGTCCAAGATAGCACCGAGAATCCGAATGCCTCGTCCAGACTCCTCTTGGCCGTGCCAAGGAGGAAACTTCGAGCGCTGGGCTCCGACGTGTCCGGCTCTGGCATCCCCTGCAAGCTCTTCGATGACTGACTCCTGCCCATGCAGTTGATCAGCACTGCTGTTTGATTGGTGCATTCTCTAGGGAGATACACTGAGGCTCCAGGCTTCTGGCACCGTTCTCAAATATTTTACTTATATTAAATTCCCAGGCACAACCCCTACAGAGTAGACTCTCTTTTAACCACCCACAATTAAGCCCTGCTACTACCGAATCTATAGACACCCGACTCGGGATGCGGTTGTGCAGCCCGGGAATTGAGTTCAGGCTCGAAGGTTTCAGTGGCTAAATGCGGCTTCACACGGTTCAGAAACTTGAAGCGGCCCCGGCCCAGAAATCCCTGATGCATGCCGCGATCCTCGAAATCCAGACTTTGCTAAGGTGTTGCAATTGCAAGTGCAAGTACTCACAAAGCCGGGTCCGATGAAGAGCTTCGGAATTTCCAATGCAGGGTGATGCGGGGAGAATGAGTCTTTTCTGGCGGGTATCAGTTTGGCTGTTCAAGAACTCCACAGGTCCTACCTCCACTCGAACGACATGAACAATCTAGTTAGTTCATTTCCGGAACCACTTCTCGGCAACATCCGATTCCCCAGGCTTGGACCCGAAACAATAGGAGTGAAAGCCCCGATCAGAAACAGCACCGTCCTCCGAAGGTTCTTTGAAGACTCCATTCTGCTCTTCATTGCCACAAAACAGGCGGCTCGCAAGCACAGGAGCAGCCGAGGATCTAACTAAGCAGGGCAACCCTCTCCTGAAGGCAAACAGTATACATGATGCAGTCAGTGGCAGGGCTTCAGTCTGTTGCACCCAAGGCAAGACATGACAAGCCCAACACTGTCGATTTCCTGGTTTTGCCTCGCATCTAAGGACCCATCTCGCAGCCACGGCGGGTGAGAGCTTGGCCGTCGAGCCGAGAGACTACTCTAGCTAAACCCCAAACCCTAAACCCTAAATAAAGTGCAAATAACTCATCAATCAAGCAGAAACCTTGTAATTATTGGGCACCTGTACTCTATTGGTCTATAGCCCTCACCCATCCACGAGCCAAATCCCGGTGCATCGAATTTCTTTATGTGCACTCCCGGTGGGTTCAAAGGCTAGCGTGTAAGGTTGGTGGACTTTTTATTGTTAAGATATTACAAGCATGATAAGGTACTACTAGTTACTACAAGGGGAAAGCACTATAAATTTGGCAGGAACGAACCTTCCAGCTTGCAGCCAGGAGCTCTTGTTTCAAACCAAGTTGCAAACGATATGCCACATCTCCAATAGATAGAATCGATGATGCACCGTATCATCCATTGTTTTGGCTGCAAAGACCAGCGGGAATACCAATCATGGTGCGCCTGAGACATCGAAGCTGCAATGGGCTGAAAAGTGTAGCGTTTTGGGAAAGCAGCAGGTGAGGCTTGGGTGTGCAAGTGGGGCATCCACTTAGTGCCAAAGCCGGTGCACAGTGGTAGGACTATTGGACTTCAAGGCACGAATTGAAGCCAGCTCGTTTCCATCGAGCAGCATGAAGACAAATCCTCCTGAGTTTATATTGTGGTGTGTCTAGAGCACTGCACACAGCCAGCGGCTAGAGCGGGTGGAGTCTGGGTACAGCTGGTGCAAACCACAACGTGCAATGACACAAGGCATGATGTGCAGACAGCCCCCCACCCACACACACACACACAC